AAAGTGATGGATTAAGAAGATTCTGGAAGAGATGTTGGGCTTGGGGAGGATAGAAGAGAAGGAAGACGATACACAAGCAAGCCTGACTTTTAAATAAAGGGAAGAGATACGGAGGAAGACAAATAATAAGATGGAAGGATGAAATAAAGAAGATTATGGAAGAGATATTGGACTTGGGGAGGATAGAAGAGATTAAGGAAGACGATACACAAGCAAGCCTGACTTTTTAATAAGGAGAAGAGATACAGAGGAAGACAAACGATAAGATGGAGTGATGGAATAAAGAATATTATGGAAGAGATATTGGACTTGGGGAGGATAGAAGAGATTAAGGAATACAAGGATACACAAGCAGGCCTGAATTTTAAATAAAGGAAAGAGATAAAAAAAGGAGAGAGACAAAAAAAAGACAAAAGGCAGAGGAAGACAAAAGATAAGATGGAGTGATGGAATTAGGAGATTGTGGATGAGACATTGGAGTTAGGGAGAATGATGAGAGATGAAGGAAGTCGATACAAAAGAAGCCTGATGAAGACAACGGAGAATGATGGAAATAAGAAGATTATAGGACTTGCAAAGAACGATTCAAAAGAAATATTGTAATCTACGGTGTACGTGCTCCAATACACATCCTTACTATTCGGAGATTACCCGCGCATTAAAACAAGAAGGGAAAGAAGAACATTAAAAAATATCACGACCTACCTGCCACTTGAACATGCCATATTTCTGTATTGGATTATCATTGTATACATCTGTATCGTCTGACATGACTGGATTTTCACTGTATAACGCCCACCCTTCTATAAACGCTGCAAACGAATTACTACTCTGGTCATCCAACCAAGACATCAGCCCTTCACAATGACTGTGAAAGTATTCACGCATACCTGTATGAAAGCGATTAGGAGAAAAACTATAGTTCGATAAAACGTAGTAGTCTAGGAGAGATGTTTATGATATCCGATTGAACTTATAGAGAAGAAAGCTGACATAATGTTAGGTTCGTCCGAATTGAAGAAATGTTCCAATGCAAGCTGTTGAGTAATGCAATTACCTTGCGATTGTGAATGATGTCCTGGACGGGTTTCATGCGCAACCACCGACCATTCCTGGAATTTGGGTCCGTAGCGTTCCAAGAAAAATGGTAATGTGAACTGGGTTGGCTCACTGCATGCTTCATCACTTTCCGAGAAAAACATCGTGCCTTGTGAAGGATTGAAATGAGGATACATCTCGATCGGACAGTTTGGTAATGTCATATGTTTTCCTATAAACGAAGAAAAATTGTAGTTAGAGAATGCTCTAAACTAGTAAGGATGATCTCTTGTAAAAGAAAACTATGTAACTATAGACCCATTGCACTGACGTCACAAATCCTAAGAGTGTCCTCCAGATGCTCCCTAACAATATCTGTTCGGGTACAACAACCACAAACAGCGCAAAAATTAACCATTTTAATACAAAATTATTATAAAGTTTTACAAAATTTACTTTGTTTACAAAAGTTATATTATGCATAGATTGCTAATTTGTCCTCCAGATGCATCGTCACCAGCGCTGTGACGTCATGTGCAATGGGTCTATAGGCATTGTGTTTTTCGCCCAATTTCCTGGTTACTCGAAATTTCCATCTACGAAACCAATCCACAATTGACCATTTGCGTAATAGACTAAATTTTGATGTCAACAAAAATTTCATCACAGCTTGAAAGAGCATCACAAAATTAGTAATATTCCAAAGTTTCGTTGCGAAATGTTGTAAAATGCGGAATATATAGCCTTGCGAAGTTTACAATTTTCAGTCATTTTAGATTACAAATGGGAAATTGACAGCCCCAAACCCTTTGAGGCTGTCAATTTCCCGTTTGTAATCTAAAATGACTGAAAATTGCAAATTTCGCAAGGCTATATTTTCCACATTTTACAACATTTCGCAACGAAACTTTGGAATATTACTAATTTTTGTAATGCTCTTTCAAGCTGTGATGAAATTTTTCTTTTGACTTGTTTAGATTAAATGTAGTCTATTACGCAAATGGTCAATTAGTTGTATCGAATGTAGATGCCTTAAATCCTGATTAGAACCGGTAGTGTTATCCACTGTCAACAAAGTAAGCTTGTTAATACCTGTAACATGAAATGCGTCGACGAACTGTGGGTGAATGAGGGACATGATTTCACGACATGCTGCTATCCATTTCTTCAGCGCTGCGTATCGGACGGGACAAAACTTCTTTGCAGACTCCACGTCGACGCACGTTTTGAAAGCCAGCGCATTTGATTCGTTCACTGGGAACTTTTGCTCGTTATGCCACTGTGTATCCGTGCTTAGCAACTTTTTCAACATGTTAATTGCGTTCGAAGTGTTCGTAGAATTCATAATCGATCTTGCAATCTTGAGAATCTACAGAAACAAAAAAATGTAATGTTTGTGGTGTTACTTTGAGTGTGCATCCACACCGGGCAAGCTGAAAAGTTGGCCTGACCACGGTGGGAATCGTGGGTTCGAGTTAGTGATATTTCGGACGACTCGACCTCGTAGCTCGAACCGACTTGACCTCGTAGCTCAGTTGGTAGAGCATTGGACTAGTATGCCAAAGGTCGCGGCTTTGATTTCCACCCTGGTCAGGCAAACTTTTCAGCTTGCCCAGTGTGGATGCACACTCAGAGTAACACCACAAACATCATATTCACCTGAGTACATAACACCAACACACAAAAGAATGTAACTTTAAATTATTTTAACTAAATGTTTGTGCAAGAACAAGTTGGTAATTTGGCGATCATGTGACGATCCCAGACGGTCATCAGACTGACATTAGGGAGTTTCAGAGTTTGGCAACCGCGATCATTAACCAATCAGATGCGTTTAATCTACCCGATTAACCAATCAGATGCGTGTTTAATCTACCCGATTAACCAATGAAAGCGAATTAAGCCAGTGAGAAGTAGCGGTATTGAAAGTCAAATCTGAACCTCTCTACTCCGTCTTTCATGCAGAGCTAAGTTAACGGACTCAAGTACACCGTTTCTGGAAGAGACCCTTATTACATGCACTTTCAAATTTACCTCTTTGTAGAACACATCTTTTTGTTTCTTTCCTTTGTCAAAGATTTCATCTGTACTGATATCGGTTGTCGTGAAGAAAGTGACAATCCTGTTGTAGCTTTGTCTGCCGTCCAGTCGTTCCCCTGTCGGCAGCACCTTGGTCGTTCTTTCTCCCGTTGGCTTACCATCTTTGTATACGTAGTCTACAGGCAGGGTTGCCAAGCCACTGGACACGTGACTTGGAACACAGTGACGCATGTGGTCGTGCTCGAGGTAATTTATAAGATTCAAGAATGGCTTACCAAATCCTTAAAGGAAAACAATAAAGAAATTACGGAATTTAGAACTTACCCTGTTTATCATTTAAAATTGTAAAGTTTGCAGTATCGCATGGTGCAATATCACAAAACACGGAAGTGAAGGTTAATATTAATGTTGTAAGATATTGCGTAGGCATTAAACTTTTGTTCAAAGGCCATATTTTTTGGTAAAGTGTGATACAGTTTCAACGAAGTGAAGTGCAGAAAAAATCTTTCAATTTCACCTTATCATAACCCGCACACCCGAAAATCCATATCTACATGAACTTGTGGTTAACACTCGCCAATAGACCTTTCCCCTTATAACCCAAATTTTGATCTAGGCAAGTCTAGATAAATATTTCATCACAGCTTGAAAGAGCATCACAAAATTATTAATATTCCAAAGTTTCGTTGCGAAATGTTGTAAAATGAGGAAAATAGAGCCTTGCAAAGTTTGCAATTTTCAGTCATTTTGCATTACAAACGGGAAATTGCAGCCCCAACACCCGAATCGGATGTCGATTTCCCATTTGTAATACAAAATGACTGAAAAATGGCAAACTTCGCAAGGCTATATTATCCGCATTTTACAAGATTTTGCAACAAAACTTTGGAATATTACTAATTTTGTGATGCTCTTTCAAGCTGTGATGAAATTTTTGTCTAGATCGAAATTTTAGTTATAAGGGGAAAGGTCCATTGGCCTCTGTAGCCAGCTTGTTAGAGCGCTGCACCGCAATCGCAGGGCCGCAGTTTCGATTCCTGCCAGAGGACCTAGTGCTGCATTTTTTCGCAACCCTTCCTGGTTAGGTATAAAAAGTGCATCTACTCCATTATTCAGGGAAGTGCAGAAAAAATCAATAGTCTTATGTAGTCTGTTTTGCCTATAAAAATGTCCATACCTTCCACCAGTGCTTCATTTATTGATGTTGAAGCAGTCTTCTTGTGGTTTCTAATCCACAACTGTAAATCTTTCTCTGGAACATATTCGAAAAATTCTTTATGTTGAAAAGCTTCCGTATACCATTCATCAAGGACACTTTTCGACTGATTTGTCTTGATAAGAGTTGTGGATACCTCTTTTAATGCATCAACTCCAGATTTACAATCTTCTATCGATCTCACCATTCCTGTTTTGACACCCAGTTCGATATTCGACCTGAAATAATGAAACCAACCATTAAAGTTCTAGCTAGAGTATTAAGCAAATCACTATTTTACAACTCACAAACAATCGTTATGGTCAAAGGTCATGATTGCATATAAATGTGAATCATATAATCAGCTTTGAATAGGGATACGTTGACGGTAGTTATCTACCATAAAAGTATCTTCACCTGACTGAGCGATGACGTCATTCCTCAAGTATACTGATGACGTCATCCCTCGAGTATACTGGGGAGACAGTCTAGACTTGCAGTATTAAATCATTACATCGTGAATATAATTTGTTCGACAATACCTAGCTATCAATGAGTTAAATGTCTGTTGGGCAAAGAAATGAAAGTATATATATTAGCACAAGTACATTTTTGAGTCTTTTTCAACAACTGCTTTCTACGCATGCGCTAGTCAGGTATGTACGCGTCCCACAATCTTGGCGTAATACATTTTCTATAAGTATGAAACGCCGAAGGTTCTCAGGTTAACGTCCTTATCGGGGTCGAGCGTCAGTTCCGTGATCGTGAAGTGAGAGCTGCGTTGCTGACACCTGAATCACAACACTTTCTCACCAACAAAATATTTTGTTCGGTGAAATTTTTGGAAATTTTTGACTTCCGCAAGGAAGTTTCCAAATAAATATCAATGCAAACGCGAAATCTCGTATTGTAATCTATATGGCTTACCAAACATTTTTGGGTTGTCAAGCACTGCTTCGAAACAAGGCGCTATTGTTTGTGATCCTCTTTAACGAGTCTATTTGTAAAAGTACTATCCACTGAGCTCTATTTGTAACTGGAGTAATATTCACTGAGCTCTTTTTGTAACTGGAGTTGTACAATATATACTGATAATTCGGAGAACTACCGAGTAATTTTAAACACAAAACAACGAAACGTAGATAACTAAACTGTTGTTTTGTATTTTACTGTACTGAGATTATGTATAATAATGTGATGTTAATAGAAAAGTTATAATTGATTTGACCCTGCGATTTCAATGCTGTTTTAGAACCAATGAGCTGCACAAACGTACAGTTACCAAAAGAGATACATTCATGGAGATATATTAGTATCACACCATCGAAACAACTAGTCTGCCATTGCAAACTGATCCCAAACCAATGTAAAGAACAGTTATAGTTTCGGACTGACCAATGGAATTTTTTTCTTCTATATCCTTACTATGGGGATAGCATGGAGTTGAATATAGTATGGAAATCCACTAATGGACCATTTGCATTATAGACTAAATTTTGATCTAGACAAAAATTTCATCACAGCTTGAAAGATCATCACAAAATTAGTAATATTCCAAAGTTTCGTTGCGAAATGTTGTAAAGTGCGGATAATATAGCCTTGCGAAAGTTGCAATTTTCAGTCATTTTGTATTACAAACGGGAAATTGATGCCCCAACACCCGATTGGGCTGTCAATTTCGCGTGCGTAATACAAAATGACTGAAAAACGGCAAACTTCGCATGGCTATATCCGCATTTTACAACATTTCACAACGAAACTTTGGAATATTACTAATTTTGTGATGCTCGTCCTAGATCAAAATTTAGTCTATAATGCAAATGGTCCATTGCAATTTTCATACTATGGATATAGTATGGAAATAGTATGGATATACTATGGATTTAGTGATTCAATGGCAAATTCCATAGTATGAATTTCACTATTTTTTCCAGAAGGCTGGAACGCAACTACCTGAAAAATACAAGGAGAACTTGAAAAGTTCAAGTTTCTATATTATAGGATTTAAGCAATACCTGTATCTCTCGATGCTTGTTTTGTGTTTCATGATCATGGCTATCGCCTCTTCTAATTCCGCATACGAGCTGGGTGATTTGAAAAAGCCGTACGAGTACAATTGAATGTGGAACATGCAGAAAGGTTGTCGACAAAAAAAATTTGGTCCCATCATCCAATCACCATTGTAGTAGTTTTCGTCGTATGGCGTTCCGAAGTTGTGCTGGAGATAGTGTTTTAACTACAAGTGGAAATATAATATGTTGTATGACAGCATATCGCAACTAGGTGATCTCGTGTTCGTATTTTAGCCAATCAGCGCTCAGAAAGGGTTGTCCGAATAGAAATCCATTTTGATGTATTCAGTCAATCATTATGAAACTAGTTGAAATTTTGTAATTATGTTTGGTTATGAGAACTATAGCTCTGACAAAAATATGGAATCGAAATAAAATATATTACAGGAGATATTCAGTTGTTTTAGGCTGCGTCCAGACTGGGTGCCCGGCACTTGTTTTGGCTCCCAGTTTGAACACAACGCTTTCAAATGAAATTGGGCACAGTGCCCAAGAACTGGCACTATCTCTAGAGGTAGTACTCAACAACGGCACTGTGCTCAACATATGTTTTGTGAACCATTTTGAACATTGGGCACCAGTGCCGGGCACTCAGTCTGAACGAGCCCTTAATCATAAAATGGATTTCTATTTGACAACTAGTGCCAGTACTTTTCCGCGTATCATGTAAAATGCGGAAAATATAGCCCTGCGAAATTTGCAAATGTTGATTTAATTTGTATTACGCACGGGAAAATGCACCATTTTCGGCCCAAACGTGGTGCATTTTCCCGTGCGTAATACAAATTAATACAAAATGTGAAAATTTCGTAGGGCTATATCTTCCTCATTTTACAACATTTCGCAATCAAACTTTGCAATTTTACTACTTTTAAGATGCTCTATCTAGCTGTGGTGATGGTTTTCGTTCTTCTTGTCCAGATCAAAATTTAGTACTGATATAGCTGGAATAATCCATTGTGTAAAGCCTTGTGATCAAACGAGGATGAGAGTTAATGAGATCCCCCCCCTCCATGCTTCTCTAAGAACTTTGAAGTTTCTTGTAGATGGAAATTATCGAGTGGAAATTTGTATACTTTCATTAGATCTAACCAGGAACCAGGGTAGGAAAAAGGGATTTCCTTCCCGGGAGCACAACCTGGAGATAAAAATTTCCTGCAGACCAACGGAGTATTTTTGTGCTAAATCTGCATGTGCAAAAACATATAGTGTTCTAGCTGACCATGGTTTTAAATCCAAGGAATAATGTCTGCAGTCAACCATATGTAATTGTTGTGCCATAGTGGGACATGGGTGTTAGGTTTCCTTCAAATTTTCAGTAGCAAATCTTGATTCAAACTAATTTCCTGCAGCTGACAACTGTTTAACATTTCCTGCGAGCAGTGCTCGCGTGCTCGCCTATTTTTTCCACCCCTGCGGCTGGAACAGCTGCGAAAAATGCAACTACAGGTCCTTGGCAGAAATCGAACTTACCTGTTCAAAAGTCTTTAGTTCCCGAGGTGTTAATTCATCAATATTTATGGTCATTTTCTTTATCTCAGCCAGAAGTGCCAGTGATTCGTCCGTTTTCTCCTTCAGTTTCAGTGGACTTGGATCGTATGGAAGGTATCTATAAATTTAAATACATTGAATACTGATTAAAAATGGTATAATTACATATATTAATAGCGAAAACTCAAGTCGGATTCGTTTCTTTTTTTGTCGGAGCAATTATAAAGATGCGTACGCACAATTATAAGTGCATTGTTCTCCGGCTAAAGTTTCTATGATTTATAGATACATGTTTTTATCTATGATGATCCGTAAAGTCAATAGACGTTCAGGCCTTGAGTAAAATCATCTGACGTTACATGGCAGAGCAAAATAGGGCGCATTTAATCTCGTTCCTTGGCCTTTTCGCTTCTGCCTTACTTGTTAATATGTGTCCTAGCCTAGTCCCTTGGCCTTCTACCTGCGGGCGAGTTACAGGTTGTCATGAATTTGCGGGCTGCCTGTTTCGGAAAATATCGGAAATGAGAAAATCCGAACTTGATAAGTTCGGACTTTCTCATTTCCGATATTTTTATTTAAGGTATTTGATAAGGTTTGCTGGTTGCCTGGGACAAGTTCGGATTTTCTCATTTCCCGCGATATTTTCCGAAACGGGCAGCCGCAAATTCATGTCGTGCATGCGGACGAGTTACAGGTTGTCATCATGACAACCTGTAATTCGCCCGCACGTAGAAGGCCAAGGGACTAGGCTAGGGTACATTAGAGCGTAATGCAACTTAATGGTTTAAACATGATGACCTGGTTAGATTGATTAAAGGCCGTCAAATATTCTTGACAAACATGAAAGGTTCGTGTGAAAATAGGCATTAGGGCCATTTATACGGAACAAAATAAGACGCGACTTACATAAGACGCGACTTAAGTAAGACGCGAGTTTGTGGTATAAAAGGTACAAAATTCTTATGTAAGACGCGTCTTGGATAAGACGCGTCTTACATAAGAACAGGTTTTTTAGCTGTTCTTATTTAAGTCGCGTCTTAAATAAGAAATTTTGGACAAAAAGTCTAACTACACATGCCAGAAACTTGAAACAACGTAAAATTTAAGGCCATGCGTATTAAAACAAAAACAACCAAAACAACATTATAGCTATATAGCAAATAAATAAGACCAAAGCCGTAGAGAACCATTTATGCGATAACTCCACTTATTTAAGTCGCGTCTTATGTAAGTCGCGACTTATTTTGTCACGTATAAATGGCCCTAATGTTGTTATCTACAATTGTTCATCAGTGATGCAAACGATTATGAATGATGGTCATCAAACACTAAGTGGAAATCGTATATAATCCTTTTACGACAATAATAATCTGAATGCTCTATAAAATTAATCCATTTTAATTATATTTATATATAACGTAATCCGTTAAATCATCTATAAGGCCTTGTATATAAACACGTATGCAAATTGCATTCCTATATTGCCCAGTTTTGTTGCAGACGTTAACAAGTAATTGCATGTTTGTCAACAGCTGTGAACAGTTAGCTCTATGACACAATGTGTGTGACTTGTTTACAACGTTGATGATGCTATCGCAGAACTATTGCGATTTTAGTAGTTATCTCAAGTGGCGAAGCGAAAGAAGTTAACTAGTGTGAGACCTCGTGTGAGATCACAGGAACGTCAAGTTTGATAAGATTACACTCGAAATTTCTATGACAATGTACAAAACCCTTCAACAATTATACTTCTATCAAGAGAAAAAATTATAAAAATTAAAGATCTTAATAGAGAATATAATCTTCGAAGTAATGATACTGATCTAGCACTTCCAAAACCTAAAACAACTCTGAGGCGAAAAAGGCATCCTCGCTTTACCTATTTAAATGTGGTATGCCCACTATACCGGAAACTAGGATGTGAGTTAAGATAGTTTGTAAGTATAACACGCCCCATCTGAAAATCAACTCATTGTATTTTTACAAATATGTTGTGTATGGCCAGCGTGGTTAAATAAATTTTTAAGTAAGTAAGTAAGTGAGAGCTCAACAACTGGCCGCGATGACTTAAGTCACGCAAACAAATAAATCAGCCATGCTTAATACGTATATACACAATGCTAACCATCGTTTAAATCAAGGCGTTATTTGAGGCTCCTCCCCTATTGCTGCCTCTCTTAGTGTCTTCAATGGCTGTTCACCATAGTATAACTGTGCTATCGCAGGATAAATCTCTATATGACTCCCTTCAACATGGGAATATGAACTTTCAGCTTAATTATCCTA